GTTTTGATAACCTCTCTCTCTCTCTCTCTCTCTCTCTCTCTCTCTCATTGAAAAAGCGTTGTAATTTTTGTGTAAATATTTGACTTAGTATTGGATGCAGAATTGCTCCAACTGCGTTTCATTAGCTGAAGTTTACGTTTTTGGCAGAACTGAAGGGAGCTTAAGGGCCAAAAGAAAAGGGTAAATGATGATGACAATGGAAGGAGTAGCCGTAAAACTTCCATCCTATTCATTCCCAATCATACCTTCCCGCTGCTTTACTCGGAACTTCCGACCCTGTTCCATATCCGCTTCAACTCTTAAAGAAGCCCACCCGGCGGCCCCGTCTGCTCCACCTGCATCCCCTTCCCTCGGTCACTTGACCCGACCCGATTTCCCCATCCTCCATCAGGTCTGTTCGTATATAACTGTATTTATTAAATAAATAAAAATTTGTGTCTGTAATTCTTGGATATTAATTTATTATTTGTTACTTACTAGTACTCATGGCCCCATGAACATGGCAGGAAGTAAATGGGTCTAGGCTTGTTTACTTGGACAATGCTGCAACTTCCCAAAAGCCTACTGCTGTGATAAGAGCTTTGCAGAATTACTATGAGTCTTACAATTCGAAGGTGCATCTTGGGATTCATTGCTTAAGGTACAGACTGGAGACTAGAGTAACATTAAAATACCAAACATAACTAATTCTGTTTGAGTCAATATCAGACTCTGATTCACTTATTAATTAATTCATTGACAAATAACTTGAAGTTAGAGTTAGTTATGCTTTTAGCCTGCCTTTATCTTATTATTTCCTCTAGTTCTCAACTTAGTGCAAGGGCAACAGAAGAATATGAACTGGCGAGAAAGAAGGTTTCCCACTTTATCAATGCATCAGACTCCCGAGAAATTGTTTTTACTAGGAATGCTACTGAAGCTATCAATCTGGTTGCTCACACATGGGGACTCCAAAATATAAAACCAGATGATGAGGTAGATACTTCACTATATTTTTTCCATTATGTCTTTCATTTATTCATCAAAATCACTTCATGCCACAACCGTTCATAAAGGAATAAACAATTGCAGTGTTCTTTAAATGGTGATCATGTTCTTTTGGTGATGGTTTCTCTTATTTCATTATCTGAGTTTAGCATTTAACATCTCCACATACTTCCATGATTTTATGATTTTATGACAACATCATTCTGTTCCGTACATTGCTCGTGATTGCATCTTAAACGCAACTACTGTTCCTACTCAATAATTTTTATTTTTATTTTTTTTCCAGATCTTACTTACAGTTGCTGAACATCACAGTGCAATCGTTCCTTGGCAACTTGTAGCTCAAAAGACAGGCGCTGTTTTGAAATTTGTGGAATTAAATGGGGATGAAGTTCCAGATGCGGACAATTTAAAAGATATGCTTTCAAGGAAAACAAAGCTTGTAGTTGTTCATCATGTCTCAAATGTGCTTGGTAAGTTTCTTTGTCTTAAGCCATTTGTATTGTTGAATTTCTTCCCTTATTTTTCCATCAGTGGGTTTTTCTTCCTCTTTACACATTATGTTCACAATTAGTTTGTATTGGTGATTAAAAACTTGTTGCCAATTATTGAGCATGCTGAACTGGAAATAAACCTGCAATGCCAAGTATTATTTAGTGGCATTACCGTTTAACTTATCTTATTAATTGGTGAAGCTATTGTTTGATTACTGAAGCTATTCTGTTTCAATTGATAAAGAAAGGGTTTTCTGCTCGCCACTTTCAATAATTCTCTATTTAGAAAAGCCCCATTCTGGTATTCTAGTGTTATCTATGTATACCGGCAGCTTCACTAGTAAGAATAAGAAGGATATGGTTAAACATAGAGATGCCTGGTTTGGGTTATACAATTCTGAACGCAGATAGGTAAGCTTGGTGTTTATTGATGCTGTGACCTAGCTCTCGTCATATTGATGTGCTCCAATGTAATAAAAGTATGTTGGTTTGGTTTTTCCATGGGGCACCGTATCTGTATATGCATTGAAAAGTAAAGTTTCTCGTGTGGTTAGCAGAATATTCTGCGATTGACTTTTGAATGTTGTCTGGGTTGTGCTTCTCTATTTATGTAATACAATAGTTGTCCCTTTATGGATTTTTCGAATTATAGTAAAATAAACATGACAAAAAGTCCTCGATTCTGTGGTTTACATTTCAAACGGATTTTTTATAGAGCCTATAGCTTATGTTCCACATCTTTCCCTGAGGAACATAAGCTATGTACTGTAGAAAAAGTATAGATTTGTAGTCCTTTCCTCCCCCTATTTGTATATTCGTTCTTTATCTAGATTTCATTGATGGTAAGCGCTGCAAGTGAATTCTAGGTTTGCCATACTGGATGACTCATGAAACTTTCATGTGCATATGATTCATCTCTGTGCTGCTTCTCAGGCCACACTTATCTGGTGGAGACAAGTTCCATAGGTCCAGTGAAATGAATATATATATCTTTTAATAATGTTTTCAAATGCATCAAACTGTTACTTGAGTAAATTTCTTTTGTGCTGCTATTGATTGAATACCGTAGATTTTGTGTCAAAGAAACACATAATAAATAGCATGACCGTACTGATGCATTTATAATATTTTCATGCAGGTTATGTTCATCCTATCAAAGATATCGTTCTTTGTGCTCATGATGTTGGTGCAAAAGTTCTTGTAGATGCTTGTCAGAGTGTTCCACATATGGTGGTTGATGTACAGAATCTGAATGCTGACTTTCTTGTTGCTTCTTCTCACAAGGTTAGGATACTGCCTATGTACTAAAATATAGCCTTATGGGCAAGTATATGAAGTAAAGAATAAACATGTCTCAGATGTGTGGGCCCACAGGCGTTGGATTCTTGTATGGAAAGAGTGATCTCTTGTCTGCCATGCCTCCATTTTTAGGTAATTTCTTATTTATAAGTTGTGTTTTGAAAGTTCATTTCGTTTTGTATATCCATATCTAAGAGGGCAATGACTTGCCTGTATAATGTTTTACCTCTTTTTCTAGGTGGTGGAGAAATGATATCTGATGTATTCCTAGATCATTCCACTTATGCAGAACCTCCATCTAGGTTGGTGAATTTGCCTAGTCTTTTGGTAGATATGTCCTTATCCTGTCTCATGTCCTTGATGGAATTTCAGCTTTTCCTTATCCTGTGTAATTTTTAGCTTTTCGTTGAAGCAGATCACCCTTTATGAGTGTGGTTGGATTTAGCCAGAGCATTTTATTTGTGCTCTTATTTTCTCAGGCTTGATTGGTTTTTCCACATTAATTATACACTACTACTTATCTGCTGATGTCTTTTTGTAATTGTCCTCCATTAACTGAACTAGGTTTGAGGCTGGAACTCCAGCAATTGGGGAAGCAATTGGGTTAGGAGCAGCTATTGATTATTTGTCAGGACTTGGTATGCAAAAGATACATGATTATGAGGTAAGTTGAATTCTTCTGCCTTTTGCGTTTGCTATTCTTTATAACTGGTTTAGAACTTTCTGTTGGATGGGTTTTTATTGCATGACTGATCAGTACAAGACTTGGCTCTGTGTATAGGACACCAATGCATAAATCTGCTCTGTAGGTTAGCCTTGATTTAATCATACAAGAGTTAAGCTAATCATACAATAGGCCTGAGATTAAGCTAATTAAACAATTAGACCTTCGTACAAGAGTCTTAATTTTGGCCAAATGGCTAATATCAGCCATTGAAATTAAGGTTTTTCATTTGAAGTCAATATATATTTTAAAGGAAAGTGGTTTGGAAATGAGGCTTTGCTTGGGAACTGGCTTTGGAGATTCCAGACAGACAAATTCCCTTTGGTATGCTGTAATCAGAAGTAAAGCTTATCTGAGAACGGCTGGGATCCCAAGATTGTGGCTAGAGGTTTGAGTCAATGCCCATGGACAGATATTTTGAAAGGGATTGCTTGGTTTGCACCTTGTCGTTTTGGGGTGGGTAATGGAAATAGTGAGGTTTTGGGAAGAGAGTTGGGCAGGAGAGAAACAGATTTTCGTTCATTGTATTATCCAAATTTCACAACTATTTATTTGCACGAATGTGTGCAAATTCTTCTTTGTTACCTTTAAGTTGACATTTCGGGCTTCGAACAAATTTGAATGAAGAAGAAGTGAGAGAGTTGTTGCTGTCAAGTTTAGAATCTGCCGTGCTTGTTCATCATAGAGCAGATAGGAGAGTTTGGAGTTCGGAGTCTGCGGGAATGGTTTTAGATTTAAAGGGTGACTAATGATGAGAGTATATCAAGGAATCCCTGTTCTCCTCACTGGTGCATAATGTGTAAGGGAAGGTATAGGTCGTGTTTCTACATTGCCCAATAGCCTCAAGTTTTTGGTTGAATTTGTTTAGGAGGTTAATGTGAATCGGTTTTCTGGATCGAGAAGTACTTTATCTAAAAAATTTCTATGCCAAGATTGTGTATGTCTATTTTAAGCCAAGATCACGTGTTTATGTAATCCTTACACACTAATCGTTCTTGTTTGCAATTTTTATTTTTATTTTATTTTTGCAGATATTTCTTGCTAAATACCTATACGATAGCCTTAGTTCAGTCCCCAATATTCACATTTATGGTCCTGTCCCCTCAAATCATGTCTCCCGTGCTGCTCTTTGTTCTTTCAACATCGACAATATTCACCCTACAGATCTAGCAACTTATCTTGACCAACAGGTATGGAAACAAACAGGGCTTTATTTCCTTACTTTGTGATAGAAGTGATGTTTAATAAAATAGCTGATGCATTGCCAACTTATGTAATTCCAGCACGGAGTGGCTATCCGATCTGGTCACCATTGTGCCCAACCTCTTCATCGACATTTAGGAGTCAGTGCAAGCGCCCGTGCGAGTCTTCACTTCTACAACACCGTAGAGGATATTGATGACTTTATCCGGGCCCTCGATGACACAGTCAGCTTCTTTAATTCTTTCAAGTAGAGAGCCTTGCTAGCCTCCTGTAAATTGTTTGAACTGGTGTAGTCAAGCTTCTCTCATGCAGGAGGTAATTCTGAAGTCCTTTAAATTGAACCGTTTTAACCCTTGTAGTATTATTTTTTGTATTAGTTTTGACCCTGGAGTTGTAACCAGAGGGGTGTTGGAACGGTTCAACATGAAAAGTACTACACAAAGACAGAAAATTACACCTCCACTGTGCCCTTGTTGATGTGCTCCAATGTGCTCCAATGTAATAAAAGTATGTTGGTTTGGTTTTTCCGTGGGTCACCTTATCTGTATATGCATTGAAAAGTAAAGTTTCTCGTGTGGTTAGCAGAATATTCTGCGATTGACTTTTGAATGTTGTCTGGGTTGTGCTTCTCTATTTATGTAATACAATAGGTGTCCCTTTATGGATTTTTCGAATTATAGTAAAATAAACATGACAAAAAGTCCTCGATTCTGTGGTTTACATTTCAAACGGATTTTTTTATAGAGCCTATAGCTTATGTTCCACATCTTTCCCTGAGGAACATAAGCTATGTACTGTAGAAAAAGTATAGATTTGAAGTCCTTTCCTCCCCCTATTTGTATATTCGTTCTTTATCTAGATTTCATTGATGGAAGTGAATTCTAGGTTTGCCATACTGGATGACTCATGAAACTTTCATGTGCATATGATTCATCTCTGTGCTGCTTCTCAGGCCACACTTATCTGGTGGAGACAAGTTCCATAGGTCCAGTGAAATGAATATATATATCTTTTAATAATGTTTTCAAATGCATCAAACTGTTACTTGAGTAAATTTCTTTTGTGCTGCTATTGATTGAATACCGTAGATTAGATTTTGTGTCAAAGAAACACATAATAAATAGCATGACCGTACTGATGCATTTATAATATTTTCATGCAGGTTCTGTTCTTCCTATCAAAGATATCGTGCTTAATTTACTAAACCATATAGTCCATAACTAATTAACTTCTCCCCTTAAAGCATATAGTCAAGGAAAGACTGCTGCAAATCATCAACCCGCCCAGTCCAAGTTATGACAACTTCTCTGAAAATAATAATTTTCATTACTAAACAAGTCAAGCCAATGGTTGGAAGGAGATGGCGTCAGTCTCCTATCAATGGAAAGAGCACCATCACTAAATAAATTTCACCCCATGTAATTCTTTTGAATATGCTTCTAACTTAGATAGAATCATCATTAAAAATTGTCACTGCAGAGCAGGATATGCATGTCACACAATGTGGAGGTCAAGAAATTGTTGATTAAAAATTATCGAGTTCCTGTCTGATGTGCAATCATATTGCAGAGCATGTAACTATCTGAGCATCACCTGGTTTCTTCTTCTGTGTCTTCATGACTATGGACATGCAAGTTTTGCCTAGACACGGCTTCCGCTCGTATTTCTCGTCATATAGGTGTTGTATGAAAGATTGTACATGTCACAGTTGCCTTGCCTGCCGTCCTGCACGCTAAAGGCGTTTCGTGACCTTTACTTTCAAATGCTTGTTTTTCTGGAAAATATTTTGTAAAATGCTTAGTTAAGACCATACATTATATTGTGTTGTGTTGTGACGAATCATATCAGCAACAGAGGTTTCAACGAATCGCAGTACAAATTGTATTATACAGCATAGACATTTCTAAGTTACTTATTTTTGAATTTATCCCTAACTCTGAATGTTACATTTCTCCCTTTTCTTTCAAGAACTCCTACGCTGAAGTAATTGCTGTTTGGAAATGGTTGGCCAAGCAAATGAAAATGAAAATGTTTGATTTCTTCTATTCCCACGTTAGAGGGAGCCATTTTCATGAAAATATTCTTTCATATAAGTAATAGTCTAAATTATTCTAAATTAATCTAATTTATGCGAAAAGGGATTCGAACTTGCTCCACGCACTTGGTGAATGTCAATGATATTTTTCATATTTATCAATTTTAATTTGAGTTTTCTATTTTACCATTATGAAATAAGAAAACATGAGTCTCCCTCAAAAATAGGAGACCCTTTCTTTTTAAGGATTATAGTGAGCTAGTTTTTTGTACTTGGTTTGTATAGGGACATGGGGTGCTCTATTAGAGGTTTTGGTTCCTTCTCACTGCTTTGATGGAAAGAATGTAGACTATTTGGTTAGTTCGACGACCAAACCTTTACTTTTTATTTTCTTTTTTTATCCCCTTCTCAATAATTTTATCTCTAATTTTTTTTATTTAAAAAAAAAAGAAACTATGAGAAAATTGAGTTTTTATTTCTTTATACAAGCTAGAGTCTACAAATTCCACTAAATTAACGTGTAGAGAAAATCCAAGCACAACCGCACATCGTGTTGACTTAAGTGAGGAATGAATACGGAAAATCGTGAACGACCGCACGATGTAACGAACGGTCCAGATGGCTTCGATGTTTTAAGTGGCAAGCGTGCTCAATTTACCCGCTAGAAAAGATATTATACCCGATTGTGATAACGGACGAGACAACCCGTTAGAAATTTCCATTGGATT